TACCGAATCTTATACGCGACAACGCGAACCTGCTAATCCTGTTCAAACAGGACGGCACCAATTTGAAACACGTTTACAATGATCATTACCATCGCCGTCGCCGTCGCCATCGCCATCGCGGTCGCCGTCGCCGTCGCCGACACCGACACCGACACCGACATCGACACCGACACCGACACCGACGACGACGTCGATAGATACGGCGGGTATTTTTCATATGTTATTTTTTGTGTTAAGATGTTAAAATAATGAAACTATATTGTATAAGGATTATTTTATATTAAGAGGTTTTTATAGATACTTATATTATATAGAAGTATATGATCATGTGAATACCGACATGTCGTATGATGATTTCTGCGCATTGTGTGGCAGTTGCTGGCTAGACAAATACGGTTTCCTAGTGTTAGACAAGGACAGTGCGCTCAAAAATGGGCGATACAGAAAGGGATTTAACATGTTTGCTGTACCGCAAAACGGTTAGTCGTTGCCTGTATTCCGTTGAGTGAAAAGTGAGCGGTCAGCATGGCTGAGAGCGATGATATTAACAAGCGTGAAAAGATTGCGAGAGAGATTAAAAAACGAGTGAATCAATTCGCAAGAAATATCGCGCTTTGAAGACCAGTAACATCGAGGATGATATTGCTGTGAAGACTCATTTTAAGCCAATCATTGAGCCGTTGCAAAAAGTCGTTGACAACTCCAGCGGGGTGCGCGCGATTAAAGACGAGCCGATCGACGACATAGAGATTGAAACGTTGTACGGTCGTAAGCGTGAAAAGGATGCGATACTGAAAAATGTAAAGAAGCGTCGAGTCTCACCAGTTCACTCGCCGATCGAGTCAAAACAGTATAAATCATACGATGCATCGAGTACACTGGAAGCACCGTTGATAACATTCACACCGCGCGCCATACATCCAGCAACGGTGGAGGCGGTGGCCACACAGATCGACGAACCTTTTGAATCCGAAGATCTTTTCCAAACCACGGAGGATTCGCTCCCGACAGCCGTTCAACGCGAGATACAAACGCGACAGGATCAACCAGCGTTGCAGACGCACCTGGGTCCGCTGAGCCAAAAATATATTGAGGCGTTCTACGCGGACCGCATACCAAAAGGTGCAGTACATACAGTGATATAGATTTTACGTATAACGCCATACGTGTAAAGAGCAACATAGATTTCGTATACGGTGTTCATCTCGACAATGATGGAATGAGGCTCGGTAGTAAACGGTTCGACGTGGACAGCGATGATAATATAATTCTCGATGGCGTGCGATACAAAGGCACGCCCGGTCTTTACGAGCTGATTTTCAAGAGACTTCCCGAAGATGAGAAGTACACGATGGAGGATCTACAAAAGTACAAGAGTATACTTCTGGCAACAAATGTGTACAAGCGCAATTACAACGTGAAAGGTCAAAAACTTGGTACTCAGGGGTACAAATACAACCATATAATCACACCGTTAGTGTCGGACGAAGGAATAAAGACCCGGTCCAAGAAGAAATCTGGAAAAGGATTACCTCGCGCTATGACGCTAAACAACAATGCGATTGATTACGTGCACTGGAATGATCCCTATGAGCTTGTGGACCGCTTACGATTGCTCGACGCTTCGCGCCGAGCCGGTCACAACGCGCATGACAACGAGATGCTGTCCATTATCGAGGAACTTCGTGAGGCCGGTTTTATTGTAAATTAACTCGAGTATCGGCGAATCGGAAACATGTCTGTATTTTGGAAAACGGGTCTGTAAACGGGTCTGTATTTCGAAAACGGGTCTGTATGTCGGAAAACAGGTCTGTATTTCAGTAACGGGTCTGTATTTCGGAAAACGGGTCTGTATTTCGGAAACGGGTCTGTATTTCGAAAACGGGTCTGTAAACGGGTATGTATTTCGAAAACGGGTCTGTAAACAGGTCTGTATTTCGGTAACGAGTCTGTATTTCGGAAAACGGGTCTGTAAACGGGTATGTATTTCGAAAACGGGTCTGTAAACAGGTCTGTATTTCGGTAACGAGTCTGTATTTCGGAAAACGGGTCTGTATTTCGGAGCTGTTAGAAAACATATATCGCACGATACTCTTTTCGCGCATACCATTACGTCAACGATCACACCATCGAGACATGAGACCGTCAAAATCGAGTGGACGTAACGATTCCGAGAAGCGAAGACTCGTCGAGGAGCTGCATGCTCCGGCGAGAAAGAATTTTCCTCGGAGACACGTCATAGTTCGAGGATACGATGATCTGTGGCAAGCCGACCTCGTTGACATGCAGGCGTACTCACGTTTCAACAGAGGCTACCACTACATACTTACGGTCATCGATGTGTTGAGCAAGCACGCGTGGGCCGTGCCCCTCAAGACTAAAGGCGGAAGCGAGACGGCTGACGCTATCGCCGAGATAATTCGGGAGAGCGAAAGATGTCCGAAAAACCTACAAACTGATATGGGGAAGGAATTTTACAACACCTACGTGCAACGACTTTTGAAGAAACAAAACATCAATCTCTATTGCACGTATTCCATAATGAAAGCGTCAGTCGTCGAGCGGTTCAATCGCACGTTGAAGAACGCCATGTGGAAGATGTTTACACTCAATGGAAGTTACAAGTGGACGGATTTATTGCCGCGACTCGTCACAGAGTAAACGCGCGCAAGCGTCGCACCATCGGCATGCGGCCCGTCGACGTCACCCCCGCGGTTGCCGACAGGCTCCTGAAAATGGTGTACAGCTACGTAAAAATCGCCGGTCCGGCAAGGTTCAAAGTGGGCGACGCGGTACGCGTTAGCAGATACAAGACGATATTCGAGAAGGGTTATACGCCAAATTGGACCACCGAGGTGTTTAAGATCGTGACGAGAGAAAGAGGCTGGGGACCGGGAGAAGATGCCGCCCCCCCTCGGCCCCCCACCGGCGGGACGGCACGCCACCCCGCCGGAGGAGGGTGTAAGGGGGGAGGAGATGCCGGAGGTAGCCGACGCCGGGTTGCCGATGGATCCTCCTCCCCCCGAGAAGGTAGCGGATTCTCCGCCCCCGGAGAAGAAGACCTGGGACGTGGTCACGCCAAGAGCGGCTGGCACGTCCCGGGCCTCAACCTCGGTGAGGGAGAGATCGCGGGCGAGGGAGAAGGAGAGGTCCTCTTCTAGGAAGAGGACCAAAACTGCTCAAACCCCCGCGAAAAACCCCTCTCCTCCGTCCCCCCACACCCCGCAGAAAACGGGGAAGTCCCCTCCGAGGAAGGAGGAGACCGTGGAGGGGATGGTGGACAGGAAGATTGGAGAGTCCTTCGATCGGTACAAGAAGTGGACCGATCGGAGGCTCCAAAGGGTGGAGAATCTTCTCCAGACCCTGGTCGACGGCGGGGCCCGTAATAGTGGCCCTGCGGCGATCCCCTCCAACCCTCGAAAGGGAGGAGGGGGCGCCACGAGGGACCACCCGGTTCCCGGGGCCGACCAGAAGGTCGGATCAGGGGGTAGGATAGACCCCCCAGGGAAGGCTGCGAATGTTGCGGGCGAGGGGGCCAAGAACAAGAAGAGGAAGAAGAAGAAGAAGGCCCCTCTCTCGCAGCAGACGCAGGAGATGAAGGAGGCGGGCCCCCCCAAGAAGGGGAACGCCGGGCCCTCCCAGCCCGCCGCGGACGCGGAGTCGTACGCGGTGGTTCTTGGGAGAAGGAGCAGGGCCGCGGAAAAAAAGACGGCCAAGGGAGCCCCTAAGGCGGCTGCCCCCGGCTCTCCGGCGAAGGGACAAGCCGGCGGAGCGCCCAAAAGGGCCCCTAGGCAGAGGCTCCCGCGCACGTCGGTCGTGGTCCTCACGCGTCCCAACGGGGACTACCGTGAGGCCATGGTCAGACTGCGGCGGGAGGTCAGCCTGAAGGATCTTGGCATCGAGGGCCGGGTCAACATCAGATCCGCGGCCACCGGTGCCAAGATCATAGAGGTGTCTGGGGGAGGGCCACGCCGAAAAGGCGGACGCCCTCGCGGGTCACATCAGGCGGGTCTTCCTCGGGGAGGAAGGAACGCGGGCGGACCGCCCAAGGAGGATACCCGAGGTGCGCCTGAGCGACCTCGACGACTCCTTGGGCATCGAAGAGGTGAAGGGGTGGGTCGCGGAGGCCGGGCATTGCGGCGCCTCCGACGTGCAGTGCGAAGCGCTGCAGCCGGCCGCCGGAGGCAGTCACGGCCTCTGGCTGCGCCTGCCCCTCACCGCGGCGAGGGAGCTGACCCGGGAAAGGAGGATCCGGGTCGGCTGGGGGACGGCCCGCGTGGACCCTCTCGAGGCGCGCCCTATGCGGTGCCATAAATGCCTCGAGAGGGGGCACGTGAGGGCGACATGCCCCGGAACGGTAGACAGGGAGGTGTTACCGGTGTGGTGAGACCCATGAT